CCCAGCTCCATCGGGTACCTATTACTGCCAAAAAGCACTAGGGCGGGATCGGGTGTTTCGAGTCATCTTGACACGCGTTGACGGTTTCCTGTGCTTAACTCGAGATTTCGAACAGCTACAGAGCGGGTACTCACAGAAACCGATTCAGAATCATCACGCGCGTTCGTTCGTTGCATCCAGAGGTCTGAACCCGGTCTGCTACTCGAGCTAGATCCGCGAAACTATTCGTATTCTTCGAGTCATGTTGACAGGTGCTGTTGGTTTTCTGTACTTAACTCGGGCTGTAGGAGAGATACAGAGCTGGTGCGCACAGAAACCGATTCAGAATCATCATGCACGATCATCTTTGCATCCAGAGGTCTGAACTCGGTCTGCTACCCGAGCTAGGTCCTCGAAGCTATTCGTATTCTTCGAGTCATCTTGACAGGTGCTGTCGGTGCTCTGACTGAACTCGGGCTGTAGGATAGCTACAGAGCTGGTGCGTGCAGAAAACGATTCAGAATCATCATGCGCGTTCGGCTGAAGCATCGAGAGGCCTGAACTCGGTCTGCCACTCGAGCTAGGTCCGCGACACTATTCGTATTCTTCGAGTTATCTTAACAGGCGCTGTCGGCTTTCTGTACTTAACTCGAGCTTCAGCATAGCTACAGAGCTTATACGCACACAGAATCGATCCAGCATCATCAGACGAGTTCGGCTGAAGCATCTAGAGCTCTGAACTCAGTGTGCTACTCGAGCGAGGTCTGCAAAGCCATTCGTATTAGACCGATTTTTGTCTAAATGACGGTGAATTTCTTCACTTAACTCGAGCTGCATGCAGATGAGCTGAGAGTTTCCGCCACAGAAATCAGAACAAATCATGAGGCGCGCTAGTCTGAAGTATCTAGCCGCTTGGCTTGGGTGTGTTATGAGCGCAAACGCCAAACAACTAGTCATTCTCTGCTATTTTTCTGGTGATGGAATTTGTTTTCTGGACTGAACTCGAGGTGCAGATGAGCTTGAGAGCTCTTAGGCATTGCAATGGGAAGAGACTCATCATGCGCGCTAGTTGAAAGTATCTAGACACCCGCGCTCAGCCTTCTATTAGCGCTAGGGCTGAACACCGATTCGTACTCTGCTACTTTCTTGGAAATGGTATTGTTTTTCTTGGTTCTACTTGTGCTGCAGATGAGCTGCAGAACTGTTCAGCACAGCAATGGGAAGGGAATTAGCAGGGGCAATATTGAAATGTATCTAGACGCCTGAAATCAGTCTGCTATCAGCGCTCGGGCTGAATAACTGTTCGTTGACTGCTAATTCTTTGGACATAATATATGGCAAGGAAGCTCTACGAGTCTCCCGGCGGTAAGAAAGGTTGACGGCTTACCGCCGGCGCCCAGTGCCTCGTAGAGCTCTTCGGCAAGATAAGCTAAGAGGAATTCGGGCGCAGGGTGCAGCTAGTTGGCAGACCCGATCTAAAGAGACAATGTGATGACCTGGGACCGTTTTTTGTATCTTTCTTCAAAATTTGAAAGTTCGTTTTAAGAAACGGTATTTTTCTCACGTGTAGTGGGTTATGCCGCGTCTGCCAGTTCAATTCTCAGGTCCGTAGCTTCAATATTATTATCAAAACATTTGAGGGAACCGACTTTGGAAAACAACCCAAAACGTAATTTTTCGAGTTTCGAGTTTCTCAGATCAGCTTGAGAAAGCTTCTCTCATGTGTTCCAAGCAGCGCCGCGCGATCAAAGAGCTTTACGAGGCTGCCAGCAGCAACCTGGTTGACGGTTTACCGCCGGCTCCAGTCGTCGATGAGCTAGAGGAATGCGGGATGGAGTTAGTACCTCGTAGAGCTCTTCGGCAAGATGAGCTAAGAGGACTTCGGGCGCAGGGTGGAGCTAGTTAACAGACCGGACGTTAATAGACAATGTGATGACTTCGGGTCGGTTTTTGTATCTTTGTGTAAAATTTGGAAGTTCGTTTTAAGAACGGGTATTTTCCTTGCTGTAGTGGGTTATTCCGCGCGCGGCTGTGAAATTCTCATGTCCGCAGCTGCAGTATTACTATCAAAACATTTGAGGGGACCGACTTGGGGAAAAAACTAAAAATCGTAATTTTCCGAGTTTCTCAGATCACTGGGAAAGATTCTTCCATGGGTTCCAAGCAACGTCGCGCGATTAAAGAGCTCTACGAGGCTGCCGGCGGTAACCTGGTTGACGGTTAACTGCCGGCTTCCAGTTCGGGCGCAGGGTGGAGCTAGTTGACAGACCCGACATAAAGAGACAATGTGATGACTTCGGGTCGGTTTTTCTATCTTTGTGTAATATTTGAAAGTTCGTTTTAAGAGCGGTTATTTATTTCACCTGTGATGGGTTATTCCGCGCGCGGCTGTGGAATTCTGGGGTCCGTAGCTGCAGTATTACTATCAAAAGATTTGAGGGAACCGAGTTTCGATAAACACCGAAAAATTGTAATTTTCCGAGTTTCTCAGATCATCTTGAGGAAGCTTCTTCCATGTGTTCCAAGCAGCACCGTGCAAGAAAAGAGCTCTACGAGGTGATTGCAACGCGAGGTACAGATTCCAGCCAGTTGTGGGAGATCAAACGTACCATCGATCCACATGTTCGCGTCTTGCCGCAGGGACCGCTCATCACGGGTATGACGTCAAAGCCAGTTACTTTCACGGGAGGAAGCGTCAGGTGTGTGATTGAGAGTGCGCCGTGGAAGCACCCACACATCGCCAAGATCGGTCAGTTTAAAGAGATTTGGAAGCATCGTAACATGTACCAGGACGCCGATAATGTTGCCCAGAACGTGCCAGAGGTGAGGGGAAAAGCAGGGCCTCGTTTGACGGAGATTCTCACGATCGCACCCGACAGCCAGACACGTCCAGTTTCGCTCGCGGAGTGGACAGAGACAGGAGGTTGGACGATTCACAATGACTCGATGACGACCCTGATGCCGACGTTCAAAGCGGGAAACTTCAAAGCTGACCTAGAGGCCCTAGCTTGACGGGGCCACTCCAGATGTGATCTGAAAGGAAGTTTGATGAGTTGGAACGTCTGGAGGGCAGGCAAAGACAAAACAACTCAAGTTATACAACGAATTCACATGCATGGGAGAAGTGTTGCTTTGGTGGGTCTTCAAGAGTGTCTGCACCTAACCCAGAGTATCATTTCAAAAGAGGGATGGAGATTATTGCGGAGTAAAGACAAGCTAGCGGGTTTCATGTTCCGATCGAGTGTTCCGATCAGATATACCGACAACCAGTCAAATCGTGTTGTGCTCATCGTAGTCGGCAAAATCATCGTTGTCTCGGCTTACTTTCCACATGAGGGGAGAAGGAACGCGGTGGCGGAGTTCAATGCCCTAGCCAACTTGGTGAGAGCGAAGTTCCAGGCGGCACGTGTGCAGTTTGAGCAGGAGGGGGGGAAGGACTTTGAGGTGGCCATCTTGACAGATGCGAATGTTGAGCTGCCTGCACACGTACGGGGTGGAGGAGGGAAGGAGGTCACGGGAGGAGGTGTGCGCACGGACTTGCAGGTGGGACAGGCGGTGGGAGGCTCCGAAACGAAGAGGACGAGGAGAAAACGTTTGATGCGCGAAGCCCTGGTCGACTTGATTGTTGAGCTAGATCTGGTGGCGACTAACACGTTCCAGGAGCGGCTCCCCACACATTTCACTCGTGCACATAAGTCCCCGCAGGTGCTCGATTACATTTTTGCTCCAGCGTGGTGGGGAGAGGCTAGAGTTCAGTGGCAGGACGTTAGGGACACAGGCAATGAGACGTCGGATCATGCGGCGGTGTTGCTCGAGTTGCCCGTCTCGATCCGCCCGGCCCCGAGAGCAGAAACGTGGCGACCCATGCGCCCCAAATGGGGGCCGGAGACCGAGCCAGGCCGCAGATTGTTCTCAGCCCAGAACTATGACAGGTTAGTCACGGAGCGTGGGGAGGGGGACTACGTGCCACCAGGTAAGTTGTCCGAGGTGATGCTAGGTGCGGCGGAGGGGATCCCGACGAAGCAGGTCGTTCGAGAGGTGCCTCAGAAGTCAGATAAACACAAAGCCCTGGAAAGAGCCAAAAGGTTGAAACAATGGGAGGACGAGGAGGGGAGGACAGAGATATACCGACAGTTGAGAAAGGAAAAGAATGCCCTTACATGTGCCATGCTTAAGTATGCCAGTAGATCAAAGAAGAAGACCAGGACCGAGATGATCACTAAGTTAAATATCAATGGGAGGGTGGAGGAGGATCAAACAAAATGGAGTTCGGCACTGTATGGGCACACCAAGGGGAAGTTTGCGAATGAGCAGATCAGGGGGGAGACGGAGGAGGTGATGGAGGAGCTCAGGAACCAGGCCCAGACGGACACCAACAGGTTGACTTTCGACTTTAGTGCGATGATGGATGCCAGATCCAGACTGTCGGTGGGCAAGCAGACGGGGGAGGACGGGATCACGGTTAGCATGCTGAAGACTCTAGGCTTCGGGAACCTTCAGGAGATATTTAAGACGTTTTCGGCGATCTATGAGGGACGGGAGTCGACGCCAGAGGACTGGCGCAGGATAGTACTCACGCTCACCCCCAAGAGTGAGAAGATTACGAGTTTGGAAGATACCAGAGCGATTGCAGTCTCTTCATGCCTAACTAAGTGGTATTCGCTTTCCCTGGTTGTGGTCCTGGAGAGGTTCCTGGCTAAAAACTTGGACCCCGGGTTGAATGTATATGGGTTTATGTCTGGGAGAAAAACGACGGAGGTCACCTCGATGATTAAACATATCAGTAAACATGCCTCGATTTTGGGGAAGGGCCAGAGTTTTTTGGCTCTGCAGTTGCGATATTCTGAAAGCGTACGATCACCTTCGACTTACGACATGTGTGAAAGCAATGAGAAAGCTTGGAGTTCCTTCTTCTTTTCGGTATGCTATCTTGGAGCCGATGCTGAGAAACACGGCGACGGCAACTTTCCAGAGTACCCAGTGCGAGACAGTCCCGTGGGACACCTGTGTTCGGACGGGAGGTGTTGAGAACCCCATCTTGTTTGTGCTAGTCACGATTGCGATGATTGGCCCGACAGTGCACTCGTGGAAAGAGAGGGGCCTCGGCTACAACATCGAGAGACCGAGGGCGTACGCATATTCGATTGAGGCTAAAGTTGGAGCCAGCTCTCGCACTATCGAGGGCTCCCAGGAGATAGAGGTACACCAGACTCTCAGTCATGCGATATGGGCTGATAACTTTTTCATCTTCGCCCAAGGCGATGGACAGGAGGGAAAGAAGATGCTTTCCACGATGATGAAGGAACTTACGATATCCATACGTGAATGGGGCTTCTAATGGAAACCCAGTTCGGTTGAGTTAGCGACGTTTGGAATAGACTTTGATGCAGCTCCTTTGGAAGTTCAAATCCCGATCAAATCTTTTGAACCAGCTGCGAACGGACAGAGAGCAGCGAACAAATCCTTTGAACCAGCTGCGAGAGTAACTTCATTGCCAGCGCCAACACCACTTCCTCATTCGTATTTGCCAGCGCCAACACCACTTCTTCATTCACATTTGCCAGCGCCAACACCACTTCTTCATTCGACATATCCGACAGCTACGCTGAACAATATATCCGACAGCTACGCTGAACAGACATATCAGACAGCTACGCTGAACAGAAAAATGCCAGTTCCTCATTCGCCTTTGCCAGCGCCAACGACATTTCTTCACGCACATATGCCAGCGCCAACGCCAGTTGCTCATACTCGTGTGTCATCGTCGTCGTCGATAAGAGTGCCTGTTGTTCTTTCACATTTGACAGCGCCAACGCCACTTCTTCATACTCGTGTGTCATCGCCGTCGTCGATAAGAGTGCCTGTTGCCTCAGCTTGCAGTGTGCAGCCTGTTGCCTCAGCTTGCAGGGTGCTACTCAACCAATTACCGATTTGGCTTTGTCTCAGAATGCTGGTGCTGCTTCGCCGATTACCGATTTGGCTGCATCTTCAAATGCGGGTGCTGCTGAACTGATTACCGATTTGGTGGAGACACTCTTCGCTCCGCGAGTGCAGGAGATTACCTTCTTGGGGGTTCGGCTACACATTCGAATGGGGACACACTTGGACGTGCAGTATCGGATTCAGAAAGCTCAGCATGCGTTCTTTCAAGACATCAGTTTGTATCGGTGTCGGTCGGTGCCGTGGACGGTGAAATGGGGTAAGTATGTGAGCAAAGTACATAGCGCTTTCTTGTACAGTGTTGAAGGATCGAGCATCGACAAATCGGCATTGCAAGATATCCACCAGTTTGAGGGACGATGTTTGATAAAAATAGTTGGAATGCGGAAAAAGGCCAATGAGACATGGTTCAGCTTCAATGTCAGAGCATATAACTTTGCCAGGGAGAAGTTTCGGGAAAAACACGCCAGCCTTGTAGAGTTGTACTTGCAGAAACAATGGGAGTGGAATAAGGATTGTTGCTCTTTCTTGAAGACGGCGGACATTGCGACAGGTGCTGCTTGCATCCAACAGAATTCTGGAGCTTGGCGTGAATCAACAAGCGTGTGCCGCAGTTTTATGACAGCGAGGTTGGCGATGTTCCATGGTATGAAACGTTGGACGGAGAGACGGGACTTGTACAATGAAGCGATCAGGTTTTTGAGTAAAAGCTGGAAGAACCCAGAAGTGTCAGAAAAACGTCGGAGGATTGATTGCCAGGCAATAGGTCAGACATCATGGCATGCGACATTTGAAAGTTTTCGGGGAGATGAGTATTGGAAGCACTTGACACATGATGAGGAGACGCGGAAAGCATGGATTGAGCATATCAAACAGATGACTGGACTTGCATTCGATCGACACTTTAAGCAGGAAGAGGAAAAGCGTGTGGGACCAAACACTAGGGAGGAGGAGGAGGCACCAACACGGGCGGCGAATACAAAGCAGGCCAAGAGGCTCGCACATGTTTTCGCGACGGTGACAGACTGGTGGGAGTACGAACAGTGGCTTGCACGAGGTTTGCCAGTGGAGATCCAGGGAGATAACATGGCCACGATCAAGTGGTTAACGGGGAGTGGAAGATCCAAAACCGAACATATGCCAGACAGATTGCCGAAATACAAAATGAGTTTCACGAGTTGCATGAAGAGTTTAACGTTGTCGGAGCCACGGTCGGAGGAAACATAGGTAAGCATGTCTATCGGTAGGGAAATCAGAGGGCGGATGAATTAACTCACATTGCACGCGTCAGAGATATAGAGTATGATAGGACACACGAGCTACAGTAGTATGACCTTTATGCCCTTCTGGGCGCTTTCGACGGTGGAGTCGACAAGGATAAAGCAGGTTGGTGGCTGGAGGGATTGATCAAAGCATCGGCATCTTATTCAATATATGGGAGCTTTGCCTTTCTGGATAGACCACAATGGGTGCTGATCAAATCGAAGGCGTTTGGCCTTCCCCCCCAATATTCTGCCATGAACATTGAATTCGAAGCTTTATCGAGCCTCTGCGAGGCCATCTTGAGTGTAACCCGTAACTTGGCCCGTAGGGTTAGGCTGAAGAAACGACCTGTGGCTGCTTTTGGCAGCCGTTAGACAGATCGCAAAAGGCAAAAAAACATGGTTGACGGCTTACCGCCGGCGTCCAGTTTGACAATTCATTTAAGAAACCAGATTTTTCTCACGTGTAGTGGGTTATGCCGCGTTTGCCAGTCCAATTCTCAGGTCCATAGCTGCCATATTACTATCAAAACGCTTGCAGGAGCCGACTTCGGGAAACAACTAAAAATCGTAATTCTCAGAATTTTTCAGATCACCTTGAGAAAGCTTCTTGCATGTGTTCTGAGCGACGTCGCGCGATTAAAGAGCTCTACGAGGCTGCCGGCGGTGACCTGGTTGACGGTTTACCGCCGGCTCCCAGTCAACCTGAGGTTGTTTTTTTCGAAGATTCCGAGAGATTTTCAAATAACTCGTAGAGCTTCCCTTAGCTAGTTGCTGGAAGCTTGAGTATTTCCGGCACGCTGGAGAGCTAGTTGGGGAGAAAAATCTCGACTGACTTTTTGCTGACTTTTGCTCGGTTGAAAATTTGCGAAATTCAACGAATTGTTAGAGCTCTAGAATTTTTTCCCATCATATTCGATCTCATTCCCGCCGCCGTCTCAATCTCAGGTCGATCGGGTACTTTTTTACTGCCAAAAAGCGTCCTGGCGGGATCGGCCGTTTCGAGTCATCTTGACACGCGTTGACGGTTTTCTGTACCTAACTCGAGATTTAGGAGAGCTACAGAGCTGGTGCGCATAGAAACCGATTCAGAATTATCATGCGCGTTCGTCTGTCGCATCCAGAGGTCTGAACTCGGTCTATTTCTTTTCTTCGAGTCATCTTGACAGCTGCTGTCAGTTTCTTTACTTGGCTCTGGCTGTAGGGGAGCTACAGAGCTGGCACGCACACGAATCGATAGACGCGTTCGTCTGTTGCATCGAGAGGTCTGAAGAACTCGGTCTGTTACTCGAGCTAGGTCCGCGAAACTATTCGTATTCGGTGAATTCTCTGAACAAGTGCTGTCGGTTTTCTGTACTTAACTCGAGCTGTAGGGACGCTACAAAGCTAGCACGCACACGTTCTCGATCAGAATCATCAGGCGCGTTCGGCTGGAGCGTCTAGAGCTCTGAACCCAGTCTGCTACTCGAGCTAGGTCGCAAAACTATGGTTTTCGACCGATTTTTTCCGAAATGATGATGAATGTCTTCATGGAGCTGCAGATGAGCTTGAGAGCTCTTCCGCAGAGAAACCAGAAGAACATCATAAGGCGCACTAGTCTGAAGTATCTAGACGCTTGACTTGGGTCTGCTATGAACGCAGAGAACTAGTCGTACTCTGCTATTTTTCTGGTGGTGGAATTTGCTTTCTAGACTGAACTCGAGGTGCAGCTGAGCTTGATAGCTCTCAGGCATTGCAATGGAAAGACAATCATCATGCAGGCTATTTGAAAGAATCTAGACATCCGCGCTCAGACTGCTATTAGCGCTAGGGCTGAACACCGATTCGTACTCTGCTACTTTCTTGGAGATGGTATTGTTTTTCTTGGTTTTACTCGTGCTGCAGATGAGCTACAGAGCTGTCCAGCACAGCAATGGGAAGGGAATTATCAGGGGCAGTAGTGACATGTATCTAGACGCCTGAGATCAGTCTGCTATCAGCGCTCGGGCTGAACAGCTATTCGGTCTCTGCTAATTCTTCGGACATAATATATGGCAAGACAGCTCTACGAGTCTCCTGGTGGTAAGAAAGGTTAACGGTTTACCGCCGGCGCCCAGTTCGTTTTGAGAACCGGTATTCTTCTCACCTGTAGTGAGTTATGCCGCGTCTGACAGTGCAATTCCCATGTCCGTAACCGCAATGTTTCTATCAAACACTTACAGGAATCAACTTTGGAAAAAATATAAATCGTCAATTTCAGAGTTTCTGAGATCGCCTTCAGAAAGCGTCTCCCATGTGTTCCGAGCAGCGCCGCGCAATAAAATAGCTATACGAGGCTGCTGGCGATAACCTGGTTGACGGGTTACCGCCGGCTCCGTTCGGGCGCAGGATGGAGCTAGTTGGCAGACCCGACCTGAAGAGACAATGTGTCAATCTGAGGTCGGTTTTTCGGAGATTCCGAGAGATTTTGAAATTCGTTCTCATAACTGGTATTCCCTTCACCTGTAGTGGGTTATGCCGCGTCTGCCAGTGCAATTCTCAGGAACACACTTGCAGGAACCGACTTTGGAAAAAACTGAAAGATGAACTTTTCCGAGTTTCTCAGATCACCTTGAGAAAGCTTATTCCATGTGTTCCGAGCAGCGTCGCGCGATTAAAGAGCTCTACGAGGCTGCCGGCGATAACCTGGTTGACGGTTTTCCGCCAGCTCCCAGTTCAGAGCTTCGGAAGGAACCGTTCCAGCGTCTCCAGAGCTGCGTCTTGCGAGATTTCAAGCGTCTTCACACACGCTATACTGCGTGCGTGTGCTCTGTTTGTCTACGTGTCTCTTTGCCCTCCAGGTTTTGGACGCAATCAAGTACCTCGTAGAGCAGCTCTTCGGCAAGATGAGCTGAGAGGAATTCGGGCGCAGGGTGGAGCTAGTTGGCGGACCCGACCTAAAGAGACAATGTGTCAACCTGAGGTCGGTTTTTCGAAGATTCCGAGAAATTTTGAAATTCGTTTTGAGAACCGGTATTTTTCTCACCTGTAGTGGGTTATGCCGCGTGCCAGTGGAATTCGGAGGTCCGTAGCTGCAA